TTCACATTATGTGGTCCTGCTCAAAACTCTCCAAGTTCTGGTCTAAAATCTTCATCTTATCACCCAGCTGTTGAGAATTATTATTTCATTCACTCCGGGTATGGCACTTTTGGCTTTGGAAATAGAATCCACCCCTCCTATGTTTAGAACTATATTATTACATATTCTGATAGCAGCACGCCTTAATATCATTAGACATTGAAAGGACCCAACGATTCCAAACCTTGGAGAAGTTATCCAAACCATCCACACTCACAGCACTTACCAAATACTCTTTGTGTCTAGCATGGGGAAGTATAACACTGCTCTCAAATTATGGCAACCTTGGCTGACATGGTATTCGCAGCAGACTGGTTCCCCAATAATTATATCTCCATAACTGACTAGATAAACTACCTATCAGATTCCTTACCAGGTTAAAGCTATATTTTACTCTGACTATTATGTTATTGCTAAAAATAATCGTTCTTGTTGTTGTATATCCAATCCATAACTAGGATTTACATCCGGAAACCTGAAACTCAACGTTAAAATGTTTTCTTTTGTGTTGAATGTATATTGTTCTATACATTCTTTGTATGTTTCTTTATAAAACCCAATAAAAATATATTGAAAAGAAATACCAAAAGAAAGTTCTATTTGTGTGAAAAAAAAAATTATATAAATTTTGCACAATTACCAGTTGAAGTAGCACAGTGCTAAATAGGAAAAATGGCCTAGTCATGAAGGGGGTAAAACCTTCCGGAGCTTCAGTGGTTAAGATCTTTTACATGTATTCAAGACTGCTGCACAATAAAATCGAGCACAGGGAACAAAAACACAACTTGTACTGTTGTTATAAATAGTTTATATAGGTAGAAAAAATATAATAAATAAAGTTTAAAACACATCAATAAATAATACAAAAATATTGTCATCGTACCCCAACCCCCCAATATAGCCTTAGAAAATGTATCTAAAGTAAAATGACAAATATTAAGACCTATTTACCAACACAGCTATTCTAGTCAATTTCTAGAGATATATGTCTGGTGTATGTTTGTTGCATTCACAGAAAACGGCAGTAAGGTAAACAGTTCAGATATATGTTAGGTGTATGTATGTTGCATTCACAGAAAATGGCAGTAAGATGTTTATCTTCAGATAGTTCAGATATATATATTTGTTGCATTCACAGAAAATGGCAGTAAGATAAACAGTTCAGATATATTTGTTGCATTCACAGAAAATGGCAGTAAGATAAACAGTTCAGATATGTCTGGGGTATGTTTGTTGCATTCACAGAAAATGGCAGTAAGATAAACAGTTCAGATACATGTCTGCGGTATGTTTGTTGCATTCACAGAAAATGGCAGTAAGATAAAATAGTTCAGATATATGTCTGGGGTATGTTTGTTGTATTCACAGAAAATGGTAGTAAGATAAACAGTTCAGATATATGTCTGGGGTATGTTTGTTGCATTCACAGAAAATGGCAGTAAGATAAATAGTTCATTAGAGTAGAGGTTGTAACCCATAAGATAGAATCACATCACAGAAAGCAGACAGTTCATTCTGTTCCCAGGGTTAAATATATGCAATAACTTTTATATAACACAGATCAGATACATCAGGCATATTCCAATACATCTATGGAGAAATTCAAGCTGGTGACATAAATAGCTTGGGTGAAAAGCTCCAAGGCTGTCATATCTACAGTCAGGTCCATTAATATTGGGACATTGACACAATTCTAACATTTTTGGCTCTATACACCACCACAATGGATTTGAAATGAAACGAACAAGATGTGCTTTAACTGTAGACTGTCAGCTTTAATTTGAGGGTATTTACATCCAAATCAGGTGAACTGTGTAGGAATTACAACAGTTTGCATATGTGCCTCCCACTTGTTAAGGGACCAAAAGTAATGGGACAATTGGCTTCTCAGCTGTTCCATGGCCAGGTGTGTGTTATTCCCTCATTATCCCAATTACAATGAGCAGATAAAAGGTCCAGAGTTCATTTCAAGTGTGCTATTTGCATTTGGAATCTGTTGCTGTCAACTCTCAAGATGTGATCCAAAGAGCTGTCACTATCAGTGAAGCAAGCCATCATTAGGCTGAAAAATTATTTATAATGTACAGCGCTGAGCGAACTATTGGCGCTTTATAAATACTGTATAATAATAATATAATAATTAGGCTGAAAAAACAAAACAAACCCATCAGAGAGATAGCAAAAACATTAGGCGTGGCCAAAACAACTGTTTGGAACATTCTTAAAAAGAAGGAACGCACCGGTGAGCTCAGCAACACCAAAAGACCCGGAAGACCATGGAAAACAACTGTGGTGGATGACCAAAGAATTCTTTCCCTGGTGAGAAAAACACCCTTCACAACAGTTGGCCAGATCAAGAGCACTCTCCAGGAGGTAGGTGTATATGTGTCAAAGTCAACAATCAAGAGAAGACTTCACCAGACTGAATACAGAGGGTTCACCACAAGATGTAAACCATTGGTGAGCCTCAAAAACAGGAAGGCCAGATTAGAGTTTGCCAAACGACATCTAAAAAAGGCTTCAAAGTTCTGGAACAACATCCTATGGACAGATGAGACCAAGATCAACTTGTACCAGAGTGATGGGAAGAGAAGAGTATGGAGAAGGAAAGGGACTGCTCATGATCCTAAGCATACCACCTCATCAGTGAAGCATGGTGGTGGTAGTGTCATGGCGTGGGCATGTATGGCTGCCAATGGAACTGGTTCTCTTGTGTTTATTGATGATGTGACTGCTGACAAAAGCAGCAGGATGAATTCTGAAGTGTTTCGGGAATATTATCTGCTCATATTCAGCCAAATGCTTCACAACTCATTGGACGCCGCTTCACAGTGCAGATGGACAATGACCCAAAGCATACTGCAAAAGCAACCAAAGAGTTTTTTAAGGGAAAGAAGTGGAATGTTATGCAATGGCCAAGTCAATCACCTGACCTGAATCCGATTGAGCATGCATTTCACTTGCTGAAGAGAAACCTGAAGGGAAAATGCCCCAAGAACAAGCAGGAACTGAAGACCGTTGCAGTAGAGGCCTGGCAGAGCATCACCAGGGATGAAACCCAGCGTCTGGTGATGTCTATGCATTCCAGACTTCAGGCTGTAATTGACTGCAAAGGATTTGCAACCAAGTATTAAAAAGTGAAAGTTTGATTTATGATTATTATTCTGTCCCATTACTTTTGGTCCCTTAACAAGTGGGAGGTACATATGTAAACTGTTGTAATTCCTACACCGTTCACCTGATTTGGATGTAAATACCCTCAAATTAAAGCGGACAGTCTGCAGTTAAAGAAAATCTTGTTTGTTTCATTTCAAATCCATTGTGGTGGTGTATAGAGCTAAAAATGTTAGAATTGTGTCGATGTCCCAATATTTATGGACCTGACTGTATACTAAGAATACAGTGCGATGTTTCCGCTGGGTTTCCAGACAGCAGTGATGACCAGGTGAAAGACTAAATCTCTTTTGGATGGAGTTAAAGCTGAACTGCAGGCATACAGCTAAATCCAGCATTGAGATACATATATATGAGCTATTTTACCTGGAAAAGCATTTGTATTACTGTCAATGCAGTCCTGAGATTTACACAGCCTGTCAGACTGTACAGTCAGGCTGCTGATTGGATGTTTCAATGCTGCAGTTAAAGTTTAACTCCAGGCACAAAAAGTTTCAATTAAATATGTTCCTCAATTGCCACAAAGGATACATTTGCTTCGTGTTCACCAAATACCTTGGCAACTCAAGTTATTAAAAGTAGCAGTGACATCATCTCAGTGCTATACACAGCCCCCGCATCGAACAGAGTTGTGGGAGGGGGCTGCCAGGTCCACCCACTAAAGGCTGCCTGCAGAAAACTACAGGAGGGGGAGGGACAAGACCAGTCACCCTGCACAAGGAGAAATAGCAGCAGTGACTGGTCTTTATTATGGGATGCTCCTGCTCATAGGCAACACTTCATGCTGGTCACGTCACGGATCTGGAAAAAATACACAAATTACACCAAGATTCAAGGGTACATGTGTCTTGTATTTAGACAAGGAGGAAGGGAGGTCATCCCACCCCCACCATTTCTGACCCCCTGGACAGTAAAGGAGCAGCAGCCCATCCCTCTGTCATTCTGTTCTCTGCTTCTGCCAGCATGTTCCTCAATAGGACATGTGCATGCAGCACATTTGATTGGCTTGTTTTGTTGCCCCTCTTGCTCCCCTGTGTGCTGCTGTACTGGAGATTACAGAAGGCTGATGTCAAGTGAAAGACTGGTACCTTCAGGTGACTGGACACTGACAAAGGTTTTGAAAACATGCTCCCTGGGCACCACCCTTAAACCTGTACCCCACTCTGTGAGTCCTCAGTGTTTTTTTTTTTGCTAGTGTCCTAAAGTGAGGGACCTCTGCTCTTTCATGGAGAAATCACTCTTAGCTTAACAAGTTTTATTTCATTTTTGGATTCTTCAATCAACTTTTGACTCTTCTTCTAATACATCTGGATTGATGCAACTTTGGTAAAACCTTGGGAGCCGTATCGGGACTCCACGCCATGAGGCCGGATTATAATACTGCTTTGGGAAATGGATCCTGCATGGGTGCCTACCTCAGCACTTTATTCAATGCATATGGCTAGCCGCAAGGTGCCATATAGGTTCAGGGCCATGGTCCATCTCTATGGAACACAACCCTGAATACCCCTTCATAGGTATGCTCACATGATGGAACAAATATATCACTCTATTAATGGGTGTTTTATATATGTCTGAACATTATGCTGACATGAAAGAGTCTAATAATTTTTACAGAAGACAAATATTGTTTTGTTTTATATCTAATACATTGGTGAATTTACCTTTTAAATTAAAAATAAGCTAAAAGTTGCCTTGTAAAGAAGTATGGCCAAAAGAAATAGAGTAGCATTTAGCAAAGTAAAATCAATGTCCAAAAAAGATGATCAGTCACTTCTATTTCTTTGTCACATCAATGTTATTATCACATCGTCATCTCTTCCCTGCCACAACATTTCTCCTGGGAAATCCACCATTCCATGTTTCCTAGCTCTCAGAAGGATTCCCACCACTTTGTCAGAGATCCGCACGTATCTGTCGAAAAGTTCTCCAAATGTGACTTGCACCTTACCGTCTTTCCCTGGTTCGGCCATGGTGGAGATAATGAAACAGAGGTCTCTCATTTCCCGATGTATGTGTGCTTCTGCCCTCATAGCTCTTTCAGCCGTCTTTGTTCCTTCCTTTGGACGTCCATAGCCGTCTTCACCCTTCTGCAGCCTCTTGGACATTGCGAAATCATGGTCAAATTCATCACTGAAAGGGTTCAGCTTTTGGTTCACCGTGTGGTCATCTGACCACTTCTCCCACCTCCCCTTGATGTTGTTCACTTGGCTATACCGCTTGTAGGCCTTGTTAATCTTGTTGAGTTCTGATACTGCCTTGTTATTCCTGAAAATAAGGACATATTGGGTCAGAAGTGATGAACTGGGCAACATTGGCCATTAATATTGTATCTCTTAGTAGTAAAGTACTTAATACATAGCCTACAGTTCAAAAAGATTAAAATCAGGGCTCCAGACTGAATATTGGCATATAGTTACTTAACTGCTCTATAAGTCAATAAAGGGACCAAACTTTAAGTAAACCTGTAGCAAACATAAGCAAATTAACCTCTTGCTGCCCGCGTAATGCATATGCATGGCAGCAAAGAAGATGGGCTTTTATGGCCACATTCCGCGTATTTCTGCAAATTTCCAAAAGTATTGGGACACCCCTCCAAATCATTGGATTCAGGTGTTCCAATCACCTCCATGGCCACAGGTGTATAAAATCAAGCACCTAGGCATGCAGACTGCTTCTACAAACATTTGTGAAAGAATGGGTCGCTCTCAGGAGCTCAGTGAATTCCAGCATGGTACCGTGATAGGTTGCCGCCTGTGCAATAAGTTCAACTGTGAAATTTCCTTGTTACTAAATATTCCATGGTCAACTGATAGTGGTATTATAACTAAGTGGAAGCAACTGGGAACAGCAACTCAGCCACCAAGTGGTAGGCCACGTAAAATGACAGAGTGGGGTCAGCACATGGTGAAGTGCACAGTGCGCAGAAGTCACCAACTGTCTTCACAGAGTTAATAGCTAAAGAACTCCAAACTTCATGTGGCCTTCAGATTGGCACAACAACAGTGCGTAGAGAGCTTCATGGAATAGATTTCCATGGCTGAGCAGCTGCATCCAAGCCTTACATCACCAAGTGCAATGCAGTGGTGTAAAGCACCCCACCACTGGACTCTAGAGCAGTGAAGACATGTTCTCTGGAGTGACAAATCATGCTTCTCTGTCTGGAAATCTGATGGACATGTTTGGATTTTGCAGTTGCCAGGAGAACAGTACTTGCCTGACTGCATTTATCCAAGTGTAAAGTTTGGTGGAGGGGGGAACATGGTGTGGAGTTGTTTTTCAGGGGTTGGGCTTGACCCTTTAGTTCCAGTGAAGGGAACTCTTAAGGCATCAGCATACCAAGACATTTTGGGCAATTTCATGTTTCTAACTTTTTGGAACAGTTTTGGAATGGCCCCTTCCTGTTCCAAATTGACTGCGCATCAGTGTACAAAGCAAGGTCCATAAAGACATGGATGAGTGAGTTTGGAGTGGAAGAACTTGCCTGGCCTGCACAGAGTTCTGACCTCAACCCAATAGAACACCTTTGGAATGAATTAGAGCGAAGACTGCTAGCCAGGCCTTCTCGTCTGACATCAGTGCCTGACCTCACAAATGCACTTCTGGAAGAATGGTCAAACATTCCCATAGACACACACCTAAACATTTGTGGACAGCATTCCTAGAAGAGTTGAAACTGTTATAGCTGCAAAGGGTGAGCCAACTCAATATTGAACCCTACGGACTAAGACTGGAATGCCATTAAAGTTCACGTGCGTGTAAAGGCACTGCACACCCCCAGCACAGTGATCAAGCTATCATAGACAGCTTCCCATCTCTGGTAATGATCAGGAGCTGGTGGGACTGGCTCCTAATTATGTGACAGTGGTTATGTGATTGGACAGTCCTTCTCACCCCCTGGGTGTAAAGACCCACTGAAAGGGATGAGAAGAAGAGGTTAAAGGATAAGTTCACCTTTGAAACGTGTTACATGTTTCACCTGTTTTTAGGGTGGAACATTTTGCATGTTTCAGCATCTGTACCCTGAACCCTGCACCCCTGATTACCCCCCCCCCCCCCATGACAGCAGGTGGATGATCCTCTCCCCGCACCTGCTGCCACCATTTGAAACCAGTGGCCAGATGGGGCTCTGACCACACGGTTGCTTCATTCACAGTTTCTTGTGAATGTATAGACTACAACTACCGTCAGCCATTGCAGCTGACAGATTGTAGTTCTCAGTAACCTATGAGGGCACTGGTGAGCACTGGTAGTTCATTGATCTTTCTGCCATTCAGTAACTGTCTGCCTGTAAAAGGTACAGACAGACAGCTTACTGAGAATCTGATGATTGTGGGTGTCATGCTGTGCAGGCTCTTTAGAAAAATTAAATAAATGCACATTTTTTACCTGCAAAAAAATGTATATTTATTATTTTTTTAAAAAGTGAACTTTTAGACTACATATTGTGAGGGGAAAACTAGGCAAAGGCTATACAGTAGTCCGTGAAAATGACATAATAAAACAATCAGCAACTGAAGTTATATCTAAATGTCAACTTTTTGCAGAGTTCAAACTCCACCCCTTCTGTTACAAGTACTTTCCTATTGGTCATTAAAACTTAATGGCCATCCTCACTGATCAGTGGGGAGTTTGGTCGGTGGGAATGGTTGGGCCAATATCAACTTTTACAACAAAAGTAAAGATATGCATATGACAGCATCCTATGTCTCTGGATCATTTGGGCATGGAGGGTTGTTATTGCAGGTAAATTCAGTTACCCACATTTGCTCACTTTGTATTGATCAAAAGGTTTACTTTAGATCACATTCTCTAGTTTAGATATTGGTTTGTAGTCTTTCCGCAGCTCATTTTGCCCTTCTTTCTATTACAGATATTGCAGTGCATGTTCACTAAGCTTCTCATAAATCTTGTTGGGTATTGACAGAATGGATCACCCATTGGAATAATGCCAGGGATGAGCCTGGCTTCGGAGCTTATGATGGAGTTGATGTACCCTGCCTACCAATATCTCCCAACCCTCCTCTGATCCATGCCACTATGTGTAGAAGCATCACAGGCCTCACAGTGGAATATTACAGCTTCATGAATTATTGATTATTTAATACTTTGGGACTATTAAATATTTTATCCATTATCTGCTTTAAAAGAAACTAGAGATTTTGCATTTAATGACTATTAGAACTTCGTGATGTAGGCATTTTAATATAAATATAAATGTGCTTTTCAGGAATTATTTCTTTGGAACACGGAGATATATTAAAGTTTGGCAAAAAATAAAAGGAAAAACACTGCTCAAAAAAAATTAAAGAAACACTTTTTAATGAGAGTATAGCATCAAGTGAATTAAACTCCTGGGATATTGATCTGTTCAGTTAAGTAGCAGAGGGGGTTGTTAATCAGCTTCAGCTGCTTTGGTGTTAATGAAATTAACAACAGGTGCACTAGATGGGCAACAATGAGACGACCCCCAAAAACAGGAATGGCTTTACAGGTGTAGGGCATTGACATTTTTTTCCCTACTCACCTGACCACATATGACAGACATGAAAGGGTCTGGAGAACGTTATGCTGCCTGTAACATCGTTCAGCATGACCGTTCTGGTGGTGGGTCAGTGATAGTCTGGGGAGGCATATCCATGGAGGGATGCACAGACCTCTACAGGCTAGACAATGGCACCCTGACTGCCATTAGGTCTCGGGATGAAATCCCTGGACTCATTGTCAGACTCTACGCTGGTGCAGTAGGTCCTGGGTTCCTCCTGGTGTACGACAATGCCTGGCCTCATGTGGCAAGAGTATGCAGGCAGTTCCTGGAAGATGAAGGAATTTATGCCATTGAATGGCCCCCACGCTCGCCTGACCTAAATCCAATAGAACACCTCTGGAATATCATGTTTCAGTCCATCCGATGCCACCAGGTTGCACCTCAGACTGTCCAGGAGCCCAGTAATGCCTTGGTCCAGATCTATGAGGAAATACCCCAGGACACCATCCATCGTCTCATTAAGAACATGCCCTGATGTTGTCATGCATGCATACAAGCATGTGGGGGCCATACAAAACTACTGAGGACCATTTTGAGTTGCTGCAATGAAATTTCAGCAAAATAGACTAGCCTGCTGCATCATTCTTTTTCACTTTGATTTTTGGGGTAGTGTCTTTGATTTCAGTCCTCTGTAGGTTGATCATTTTCAATTCCATCAAACGATGGGGAATCCTTACGTTCCTAACACATTACCCCATCCATATCAGTATAGATAGCCAGCATGATATTTTCGCCCATTGAGATCTGATGTGTTCACAAAGTGTTCCTTTAATTTTTTTTGAGCAGTGTATATTACTCTGTACTTAAAGTGGGGCTAAAGGAAAACAGTTTTTTTCCCATTTTGGATAGAGCAAAGGAGGATTATGTCCCCTGCCAGGTTTTTTTTTTTTTTTTTTTTTTTTGTGTCCCAATGAGGAAATTTCTCTTTACTTCCTGCCCCATAGCCAAAATGGGACATGAGAGGAAATCCCTCCAAAGTCAGTGAATTCCTGGCAGTCAATCCACAATTTGGGATTTTCTGTTACTTTAATTTTCAGTGATATGCCTTTATTTATTTATATCTTAACACAGACCAATCATAAGGACAATATGTAGGCTGCCATTAAACACCTATTCTGAAAATGCTGGTATCCTGATTGTGTCTGGCTTTATAGTGTATCTATTAGACATGTGCAGTTTGTTTTGTTACGAATCGAAAGCCGGATGAATTTTGCTTTATTCAAGAATTCGATTAGCAAATTCAATCAATCCAAAATAAATTATAATGAACAAATTAATTTGTATTAATTCATTTCATTAGGATGACATGATGCAATACTTGGGCCTTTTGTAATGTTTGAAGCATCCGAAATAACGTAATGACATATTGATTCGGATCAATTTGTTTTTATTTTAGTGAGCACAGCGTGACTATTCTAATAAGATTCTCTTTGTATTGGGGTTGAACTTGTGAGACTATTCATTTAATTTGTATGTGTGTGACCCAACAAAGTCAGTTGGGAATAGGAATATGAATTCAACTTTATAACATAATGAATATAGCCAGTCTTCCGAAATAACAAAAGAATACCAGAATTTCTGAAAATATGAATCAATTCGGAACAATGAAAAACTCCCAAAATAACTAATTGTTCTAAAAAGGATAATAAATATGATGAAACAAAATTAATTACTCAATAAATGAAACCAAAAACTAAACTTTATTTCCGTCATGCACATCTCTAGTACTGTATCTATGACCAAAACATTGATTTTTGGATATAAGTAGTATTGATTTTAAACTCCTGTCAAGTTTTGCTCCTGTTTGTGTCTGGTGACCATTGCCAGTGAGACAGAAAGTAATAGAATTCCAATGGGGACAACTATTCTGGTGACAGCTGTTTTGTAGAGCAAATATCCTGACTTTTTAGAGATTTCTTGTCCTTTGGGATAGGGAAAACTCCTCAATATGACACTGGCAGGAAAATGTAAACTGAATTTGATTTAAAACCTTTTTATACTCTATCCATAACTAATAATAAAGTGCTGTCTATACATACACTTTAATACTTTCCAGAGTAAGCTTGAAGCAAATGAAAGCCAGAGAAAAGTTAGGATTGCTGTTTAGGTCAGAGATTTAGAAGTGATGACACCTGATCAGGGGCGGACTGACAATTCATGGGGCCCCCGGGCAATAGGGGATCATGGGGCCCCTGTGCCCTTGCCCAAACTCAAAAAAGCCTATGAAAAGGGTACCAGGGGCATCTCATGGGGCCCCCTACTGACCCCGGGCCCTCGGGCAGTGCCCGAGTTTCCAGGTGGTCAGTCCGCCCCTGCACCTGACCAAAGCATCAGCCCAAAGTTCTTCACGTCAGTTATAATATTCCTAAGAATGCTCAGGTAATCCTTATTTTTATAGATTATTTTTGTAATTAGGATACAAATAAACATGTAAAATATACTTTAAAATAAAGCACTTTTTAAAATTCTCAAAATTATTTTTTACAACATGCAACCTAAGCGATTGGTGTACCGCTATAGCTTCTTTCCCAAAACTCAATTTGCTGAGAGCAATGATGTGCTGTAAACCATATCAACCAATCAGAACTCCGCTTTCATTATCCTGACTATTCTAGCCCAAAATGTTTTATGGACTCCAGTGGTAAAATTTCTTCATTTGAAATCCTTGTTGTCCCCACCCCCCCTACAGCCATGGATGTTCAACTTCTTGCTGCATGTACTGTAATGTGAAATATAGGAAAACCTAAAGAATGAATAGCAATAAAATGATGGCAGTGAGTTGGTGGAGCTGGAAAGTCAATTGCAGACTGGAGTCTGTGAAAGCGTTAAAGTGGAGTTCCGGCCCTACCGCCACAAAAAAATAAAATAATTAAAGTCAGCAGCTAAAAATATTGTAGCTGCTGCCTTTTAATATTAGGGCACGTACCTGTCCTGTCATCCAGTGTCCTCACCCCAAGCCGATTCTTTAGTCGGCTGTTGGGTGCTAACACCGCCATCTTGACTAAGGGAAACCGGCAGTGAGGCCTTGTGGCTTCACAGCTGGTTTACTACTGTGCATGAAATGTTCCAGAGGGCTACAGGGGGCCCAAATTTCTGACTCTGTTCACCGTGGTGAACTGAGCCAGAAGTGGGAGCGGGTACCTGTCAAAACCAGGTACCCACTCCCCCCCCCAAAAGGTGCCAAATGTGGCAGCGGTGGGGGGGGGGAGGAGGAGGCAGATAATTGCAGCTTCCACTTTTGGGTGGAAGGAACTCGGCTTTAAGAAGGTGATGAATGACCATTGACACCCATGAGATATAATGGGAGGGAAGTGCTAACACTGGAGTGTGCAAAATCTGGAGCAGCTCTGTAGAGAATCCATTCAGTTTCCAGGTTTTATTGGTAAAGCTTAATTGAACAAGCTGACATTAAAAGCTGATTGGCCTCCATGCAGAGCTGCACCAGATTCTGAGTGCTCCAGTTTTAGCAAATCTCCCTCAGTAAGTCATGTTGCTGAACTTAAATTAACGTGTATATCCAACCAAAACTTGGTGTTACTAAACCCACAACAGTAAAATCAGTCTGTATATATAGCAAACCATTCTTGTTATATTCACTGTAGAACCTAAGGGGTTAATCCTCTGCATTGTGTAAAAAGGCCATTTGTTCCTTTCTTCTCTGCCCCTCCTCTTGTTCAAATGTCCACATCTTATCTCCTGATAAGACCGACTGAACCCGTAACCCTTCTGCACATGCTCAGTTTAGTGTGTATTGCTAGAGAATGCATGTGATCAGCAAAGAGCAAATCAGCACTGTCCAGACAGAGGTCAGGGGTTCTACATCCTCCTAGAGCAGAAAGAAAACTCTTCCTACAAGCTTTAACCAGTGCTCTGCTGAACACTGATAGAAGTCACAAGACTGTTATATACTGCTGATGAGAAAAGGTATTTAGCAGTTTATATTTACTAAAATAATTACACTTCCATGTTATATGTACTGTGGGAGAGTGGATATAGGGAATGCAGGGTCCTGGGTTTTGTAACACATTAATATCTAGTTTTGGGTGGAATGGGGAAGAGTTAGACTTGTCAGGTTTTTATTTCTGTCTGTGTTCCCAATGGAGAGATCTAATGTCATTATTTGTCCTGTGGACTATTGCTGTGGGGTGGATATGAGTGGGAATCTAAAATGTCATGTTTGTTAACGAAGCAGTAGTAGAGGGGATATATTTCAATAAAGTCACTTTTTTTCAGTGGAACCCCATATATTTGGGAAATTTCCTCTTACCCCTATGAGAAAGGAAGCACACAGAAATCTTCCTTATCCAAACACAAGCAGCAATAAAAACATGGCAGTGGATATAACCCTTCACCACTCTATCTAAACACCAAGACATTTTTTTGACTGGGGTTACACTTTACACTTCAACATAGAGACTGCATGTTACACTATGCAATAACTTACATTGAATGATATGACCGCTTAATTCTTGCAGCGTCTTCCGTCTTCTCTTCTGTGATTTCTACCTTCTCTTTTTCTGGTTTGACCTCCTCATTCTCTCCATAGCCACTATCTTCAGTTTCTAGGCTTTCACTTCGACACTCAGCAAGCTTTGGCAACGTTTTAGAAGAGGCCTCGGTTCCTTCATCATCTTGTCCCATCTTTTTCCAACTTTTGGTGAGTTGGGACACCAGATTTGAGCACTTCCTCCTCCCGGGTTGGAGACACATTGCCCTGAAGTAGTTTATCCACCATAAATTCATCATATTTCTGGGTACTGGGATCTTTTTCATATCTTTCAGTCAATGAACCAATATCCATTCCTTTCTCCTGGGCTTTGCTTGCAAAACTTTTTGTCACAGATTTTGTTTTGATGTGTGTTTCTTCTGTTTCTTCTGTAGGCCTTTCTATATCTTTACTTGGTACAACAACAACTGCAGATTTCAATTTTACGTTCAATGTCGACTTGTGGTTTTCCGTAACCTCATCTTCAGTGTTAGGCACCCAACCTGAGGGTTCTTGTCCTTGTTTTGTTGAATGTTCAGCTGCCCATTGTTGCCAACCTTTGGTTAAGCTGGACACTAAACTTATAGTCTTGATCTTCCTGATGGCCCGTTGAGCAGGTTTCATTGTTTTTGCTTCGTCTGGAGCCATATTGTGGCAGCAGTACCTTACTTGTTCCACCAGTGAAGAATAAAATCCTGAACTTGTCCTCCTGAGTCACTTCTGACAGCTGAATGAAGGGTGCCGAGTTTTTAAATAGGCTGGCTGCTTTACATTCATGGAAAATATGCCAGGCATTTGTGACCAAGATCTGTCCGCTGTGACACTGTTACTTTTTACAGAGTGATGGCTTATGTTTCATCACAAGAGCAGATGGAAATTACAGATGGTAAACAAAGCAAGCTTAGCATACACAGCTCTCAGGGGCTGTTCAGTAATCTATAGCATTGTCCTTTAGTGTTGAGTCATTGACTTTCACAGAAAATAAGTTACATTTTTTCAATTTTTTCATATTTAAATATGATTCCAAAAGTAAATAGTGTAAACAAATAATGTTTGTAGTACTCAACCAAATATGTTCTTAGATTAAGTCAAGTATTTCTAAACCGAAAATAAATATGTAATACATTGCGGCTTACAAGTTCTTAAATTTGGTGAGTGCATTTGTTTTTTTTTTTTCCCAGCTAAGTACAGAAAAATACTTGTTGATCCTATCAGAATTCCATTGTCCACTTGACTCTGCAGACTGAACTGAAATTTCAAACAATGTTATCAACTTTCTTCTGTGGGATGCAGAACATGTCATCCCTATATACTGTAACAGAGATAAGGGAAAGAGGAGGTGTTCTGTAGCCCACAGAAGAAAGTTGAGTGACTCAGGAGGACAAGTTCAGGATTTTATTCTTCACTGGTGGAACAAGCAAGGTACTGCTGCCACAATATCAGCCTAACATGAGAACACTGTTCTTCCATAGATACAGTACAATGAGTAACTGTTGTCACCCTAGGACAGGAAGTGTCCTACTGGCAGGATCATCAGGTGAAAATAAAAGGAAACAAATCTGCAATACATTTCTGGGGGGGGGGGGGGGGGTAGATATACTCTAAGTATGTTAATTATGAGGATTGTTTTAGTCTATTTCCGTTACCTTTTCTACCATTGAAAATTTTCAGAATATATATGGATACACAATGACATTCTGCAGCATAGCCCCATTTTAATAAAATGGGAATCTACAGACTTATGGCCAAACATTACGTATTATGGACAAAAAAGATCTTTTTGGTATATAAGTGTAGTCAGCTTAATCCTTTTTGTGACCAGAAGTCAATGAAACCTCCATGCTCAGACCAAATTTAGCAGGGTCAGCATGCGACAGGTAACTTGACAACAATACTGTTACTAATTTGAATACCGAAACATTTTTTAAGGAACTTTAAGGATTTTATTTTGTACATCTTATACTAAAAACCATGTTCTGTTTTTTAATCATATGCTGACAAGTGAGCAAAAATGTTTACTATATTTTTTTCAGTTTTTTTTTTTTTGTACTAATTATTAAGCGTCATTTTATCTGACAATTACAGTACTAACCACTTTAAGTCTGGACACTTTCACCCCCTTCCAGTCCAGGACAATTTTCAGCTTTCAGCGATGTCACATTTTGAAAGATAATTGCATAGTCATGCAACACTAAAACCATATGAGATTTATCTTTTTTTTTTTTTTTCCACACAAATAGAGCTTTCTTTTGTTGTTTTTTTTTGTTGTTTTTTTTTATTACCACTGGGTTTTTTATTTTTTTGCTATATAAAGGAAAAAAAGTATTTACCTGCAGCTGCTTGTTGCCAGGTTACCTGCTTATATCAAGGATACTACATTGATATCAACAGGTGTCAAGGATATCCATTGGCAGAGCTCATTTTCATGGGTCACTATGGACGGCAAGTCCCTTTATTCATGCATCCCTCATGATCTGGCACTGGGAGTGTTGAAATTCCACCTTCATCATTACATATAGTGTTGAGCTCAAAGAGTTTCTAGTTTTGTCGGTTAATTTGTTATTACAACACAGTTATTTTGTGTTTGACCAGGTGTATTATCTACAGTGTAGAGGGACCTCTATGGGAACCAAGTTCCCATCCTTGGTCAACTTGTATATGGGTTGGTGGGTGAAAGTAGGTAGGTGGTCTTTTTCCTGTTCCGTGGGGGCCCCCTCAAGATACCAACGGTCACACCTGGACACAGCTACGAGATCTCGGAAAGTGAATGCACTCAAGTCACCTCAGTTGCGATTGCAAACACTTCAGTTTTATTGGCATAACATCAGGGTTATTATACTGTAGTCTTTAGGCAAACACACACCCTCAGACTTTCCAATCAAATACATGTACATTATTTTACCTTAACTCAACAATTATTTGTATGAGGTTTGCATTTTCACTCTTCTGCTTTATCTATCATACCATATCTGCTCTATCGCCCAGGCCATGGCTGTAATCTGACCCAACGCCCAGACCATGGCTCTAATCTGACCTAACACCCAAGTTGTGGTTAAAACTTTTCAGAAGTGAGAGTAAACCTTATCTGCTTTTTTGTAAGGGTTTGCAAAAACACTCATTTCTACATGAAGCTGAGATAGACAGTTTTGTTAGTGTGCACACATCTCATATATATATATTAAACTAGCATCTTGTATTAGTGTATACAAAATGGATTCAGTTATATTCCATTTAATCCTTTCAGTCCCCCTCTTTTATCACATAGTGATAACACTTTTCATTGACTTACTCTCCCTATCGTCTCAATCCCATGCATTTCCTCATATTGTTGAAGCAAAAACATTTCCTCCCTTTCCTTCTCATTAATTCTCATTTTGATACACACATGATCATTCAGTTGTGATGAGGTACAACCCCCACCCATCCTGAACTCCCAGAGGGTTTTTGAACCACTGGCCCTTTCTATCATATGAATTCTCCAATAGAAACCATAGTGGGACAATGATAATAGTCACTATTGATAAGATAATAATCAAGTTCATCCAGTCCTCATGGGGATCCAATAGGTTGGGTAGCAAAGTTCTTGGCTCCTTCTTCTGTTGGTTGATCAGCTTGATTGTGTCTCTCATCTTGGAAAATCCTTTTGACTCTTGATGCATGGATCCAGGTGCCTGATCCTTCAGTAAGAACAGCTGTACGTGTAATGGCCACGATCACTGTAGGTTCTCCAAACCGGGGTCTCACCCTTGGATCCAGTCTTCGGATCACCACTTGATCACCTACCTCGAAGGGTGGGTTGGTTGATCTGCAGGTAAAGGAAAAGAGGCGGCAACATCACAATATTCCCTATTCAGCTTTTCACACAATGCTTTTACATATTCTGCCTGTATCACCTCTAAATCTCCTTTCTACCACAGAGGGGGTTGCTGTCTAGTCCAAGGGGTAGGGAATGGTCTGCCCATTAGTATCTCAAAGGGAGACAACTTACTCCGTTTATGAGGTGTCATCCTTATTTCAGCTAGTATAGCAGGTAACACAGCTGGCCAATTCTTCAGAGTCCCTCCTGTGGCTTTCACTAATTTATCCTTAAGTGTTCTATTCATTCTTTCCACTACTCCAGAACTCTGAGGGTGATAAGGAATATGGAGCTTCCATTGAATACTCAAAGCCTTTGAGACTCCCTGAGTCACTGCTGCAGTAAAAGCTGGTCCCTGATCGCTTTCTATGAACAAAGGACAACCCCATCTAGGGATGATTTCCTTACACAAAACCTTGACCACTGTCTCTGCTGTTTCATTCCTACATGGGAAAGCTTCTGGCCAACCTGAAAATCTGTCTACTACCACCAACAACTTATCTCCTTCTTTTGATTTAGGGAGATGTGTAAAATCTATCTGTAGATGTGTGAATGGTGCCTCAGGGGGTGTTAAATGTTCATGTTTCCCATGCTGGCCATGCCCAGGGTTGTTTTGTAAACAAGTAAGGCACCTTCCCAATGTTTCCTCCACCAAATCATGGAGAAACCATACACAAAACTGTTTGCGCATTTCTTTCTCCACTAACTGTTTTCCCTTATGACCTACACCATGAAAATTTTGAATGAATAATACAGCAGCTGCCTGTGGAAGTCCTACAATCCCCTCTTTTGACATAAGACCATGTTTGTCTTGTGTCAAACCTCTGCTAGCCCAAAAATCAACTTCACTCTCAGAGGCTTGTGCCTGCAGTGTACCTAAAAGCTCATTTGACAGTAGGGATGGAGTGGACAACATTACCATAGATAGATCTGCTCGATTATGCAGTTGCCCTGCAGTTTTTGCAGCTGCATCTGCCATAGCATTGCCTTTTGTGACTGGGTCTTTGGCATTAGTATGTGCCCGCACTTTAATGACCGCTATCCTTCTTGGAAGTTGGAGTGCAGCAAGCAAATCCTGGATCAAAGAATGATGGGATATTGACTTGCCATCGGCCGTAGTGAAACCACGGCGTTGCCAAATACGGCCAAAATCATGTACAACCCCAAAGACATACTTAGAATCTGTGTATATGTTAACATCTCGATCTTGATAAAGAGTGCAAGCTCGTGTTAGGGCCACTAATTCAGCTGCTTGTGCACTGGGGTAGGGGATGGGGAACCTGTTTCAATAATAAGAGGTGGTTCTACTACTGCATAGCCTGTGATGTATGTAGCATCACTAGGGCGTGTACAAGATCCATCGACAAACACATCAGGGGCTCCAGGAATCGGAGTCTCCAACATATCTAGTCGCGGAGAAGTGTCAGCTTG